ATTTGTTGTTTATTTAACCTCTCGATAGCCGGCTATCGAAAAAAACATATTCATTTTGTTTAGCAATCATGAATTTTAAGAGTCATGATTTTCTGCTCAGTAAGCAAAAACGATCACTCCAGGGTCATCGAGCATCTTAGAACTATAACGTTTCGTGACAATACAGGACTACGTTTTCGCTTGATATGCAAATAGTTTCCGAAGTTAATGTTCAATATCAAATATAAATGATGGTGGCGATTTATTGTGCTGTGGAAGAGCTTGGGGTTACATCCATGATTTTCTGCTCAGTAAGCAAAATCGATCCCTCCAGGGTCATCGAGCATCTCATAATCCACAGCGCTTCGCGTCAAAGTACGAATATATGGATGAACTATCTATTATTGAATAACTATTATTTACGATAATTACATGAAAGAAATAAAATATAAACTACAAACAAAACGTGACTACTAAAATCTCAAAAGATATTCTCACAAATATATTGCACGCAACCAGGAATCTCAAAACCATTAGACGCTATAATGATACTCTGCACATGTTAGACACAAGAAGAGGCCAAAAAGCAAGTGTCCGACACACAAAACCCGCCAAATCCACTTGCAGTTACAATCAATGATTCTACGAATCGCGAGCGCTCACGAATCATAAAACCGCTGACTGTGACACTCTGAAAGCGAAATTGACAGGCTCTATGCGTCAAACACCCGCCCTCCAATCTCCTCCCGCATCCAATAACACAAATCTCCATTACAACATCTAACGAATTCAAAACTCCGAAAATCACTCATCTATAGCAAGTGAGTGGAAACAACCCTGCATGCAACCATTCTTCATGATACACTTTTTCTGCCTATCTTTCTATTAGGCCTGTGGACATACGTTACCTTCGAAACTTCTAACCAAACTGGGAAAACTTCAAGATCACAAAAAAAAAACTTGAAAAAAACTTTCAACTTTCGTTTTTTACCCAAAAACGAGCATGTAATATTAATCTCTTGTATCGTATGCTAATGCTAATTGACTGTAACAAAAATAATATGCTTAAATAAAATAAAATATTAATAAAATTATAGGCAAAATTTACTAGAAGATCATTACTTTATTGGTGAGAAGTTTCTAATAAGCCCTCCCAGTTCCTCTGTATACATAACAAATCTGATACTATAATCAGAATTGCTCAGTCTGCATGAAGCAGCCGATTTCATCAAGGACGTTCTATTAACAACCAAGAATTAATCGTTTGAGGCATACTGAAGCATTATGAAGGTGATATGTGTCACTATGGGAAATCATCATCGTTGCAAATATTAAGAGATTAAACATAACCCTTTGCTTCAAGTACCATCAACCTCCATGTCCATGAAGAGGGATTCTTTGGGGGATTGCTGATAGGATCCTTATGTTCAAAGGTTCATAAAAATGTAGTAAGAAAATGCCTCAGAGAAATGCCATTTAAAATTTGTTTACCACCACGGAAGCTTGGTATGCTATCAATGATTTTAGGAAATCTATTCACATAATGGCATGGTAATTTTCAAAGTTCCCCTTTTGACGTTACTCTCTAAAAAATCAAAACTGTAATTTCAATTTATGTGGTATAACAGCTAGAAAGTTGCAGCTGAAAAAATCGAAGTAGGCCACGCTGCGAAAATGACGTGTTTTTGTTTTGCTACGTCGTTTTCGTTCTAGTGAAAATGTTATAAATTTACAATTTCATTTTTAAAAAGTGTTAATTTGAAAGTACAGTGATGTTGAAAAGTGCATTAAGTGAAAATTTTGAAATTCTTATCCGTTGCATGTGGTGCCGACTGTTCTAACCTACGCGTAGTTACGTTCAGCTAAGTTTATTTGCCTTTTCATTCCTCTGTCCTCGATAGGAAATATCCATCTAATTCAAGCCGATTATTTCAAAACATACTAAATACGTGTCAATCGAGTATTGCACTACTGCTTGATTGAAAGTTTCAGTACATTATCAATGGTGTATATTTGCATCGATAATGTATTGGAGCGGGGCTTATCATGAATGAAAATAGCTTCGGAATGTTTGCGTTCTTGAAATTGGCTATTGTAGCTGCGGTAGAGCTGTCACCTTCTAACTCCCGGGTTCAAGCTTCTTGCATTCATACGAAATGATTGCAGGCAGATTTTATCCATAATACCACTGCCAGACAGTGGGAGTTAGGCCAAGGGCGTATCTTCATTCTAATCTACGATTCCACATACTATTAATAACCTTTTACACGTGAGAACCTCCAATCGATCAGAATGAATTGTGCATATATTTAGGATCAACAAACATTTTCAGGCCCAAAAGAGCAACATGATCGAGCTGATAACGTTTCTTAATTCCAACATCTGAAGACTGCTTTGAATAATATGTTTAGGTAATGGGCAGCAACAACGGACAGATAAACTACTTACAGCTTCTATTTATTAAATGCTTGATATAACGATTGCCAGCAACGCCGACTAAGCGTATCCTATGGCTTACCCTCCCTACTAACAAAAATCCAACCCTCCCGTGACACTTATGAGGGGTCGTAGAGTTCTCTGCATCTCTCTTAAGTAAGTGTCGGACTAACATTCCTACCCTTTCCCCACCAGATGCAAGGACGTGGCCAGGACAGCTCTGGTCTGTTGGAGGGAGACACATCCTTTATCTAAGAGGTAGTAATTAATCACAAATTACTATCTAACAGCAACGGATGAAGGTGGGTCTCCTTCTTAACAACAGTTTGGAGCTCGTACCACCTACGACATTGTGCAACCTGGTTTATGCTATGCTATGCTATGCTATAACAGCTAGAAAGTTGCAGCTGTTTATGTGTGTCTAATTTATCGTGGACAGTCTTCATAATTGCATATAATAGAATTAACTCTATAATATTGGATTCATCGTTTGAATTGACATACTTTATGTGAATTGATAGATTATTTTTTTCCAGGACTTGTGACAGCTTACTTGTAGTTTAGTGATGCGAAATTAGTAAATTTATAACTGATCAATTTTGCTTAAAAGCTTATTTGATATTTTTAATACTATGCCCCATACTTATAATGTAAATGTGAATTGAGCTTAACATCATCATGTAAGAACATTCCTTTTAGAACAAGTCTACATCGAGTACGGTTTGCCAAAGCATCAATTCTGCTCACAGTTTTAAGTGTCTACCAACAGAGTGCTCCACATTACAGGTGAGCAACAGGTAAACTAGGCTGCACTGGTGTAGGTTTTTTCTTCCATACACACCTGGGGCAGGTAAAAAAGCTGCGGCTCAATAGTACCACAGTTGACTTGTAGATCTCTATACCACCCTACCGGCATAACAGCTCGTATCTTTCGTATCGCACCGTCGCGTCGTCAGTCCTGTTTAACCTGTTGCGTTCACAGGTTGTGCTTTCACCAATACGTTCTTTAACGTGTAACGTTCGTTTGACCCTTCCCCATAGGTATATTAGCATTATCAGGTGTATGCATAAGTCCGGGCAGCATAAAATTAGTGACACGCAACCGTCGTAAAGTGTGGAAGATAATGTGAACTATTATTTATACTGTGTAGAAAGAATCATGGTCCCCACTACTGCTTCCATCGGCGACAGTGGCCAGTACGCGTTGGTTGGAATTACGGCCGGATGCAAAGTGACAGGTCACTCGAGCGTGAAGCACAGAAAGGGAGAAGTTGATCATCATTACCACTATCTTTCTGAAGTTTACTCCACTAGATCAAGTGCAGTACCAGAGAGGGTCTATATCGTCAGAGTAGATGGAATGTGATGTAGTGGAGAAAACACCTGTGTGTCTCTCAATATTTGTCGGTTCCAGTAGCGACCAATTGGATGATAGAGCGCTGCTGCTTCTCCGGCTTACTTGTATACGCATGAAGAAAGGAAGGAAGGTTGTGTGGTTGGCTTGGTGTTTCGTTTTGAGTGATCTGCTGCACACATAGCAGGTGTTTATGGGCGAGCTTTTGCTCAAAAGCTCGAGTGGGAGTGTATTTTTCATTGAGCGAGAGATGCCAAATGTTTGTAATTTTTGATGAAGTTTAGAGTGTGAAAAAAGTCTAATTTAATATTTAGGGTCTTGAAGTTATGAAGTAGTCAAAATAAAATATTATGATATTAATATAATGAAAACTGCAAATGTTAAAATGTTTCGTTCGGATCATAAAATACTAGTTACAGGTTACAGAATAATTTTAAATTAAAAACACGCCGTTCAAAGCAGAAGAGCAACTATATGTAGGGCAAAACAAACATTAACAATTAAACGTGTGTAATTAGTAGCTGTAGGATGATGAGAAATGCTGTAATCAAATGTATATCAAATATGATTTTGATACCGTTGGAAATAAAAGCAAAAATATTTGTTTTCTTTGTTTAGTTTGCTAGAAGTCAACCAAATTATTGCCAGGAAAATTTTCTAATGATTATTGATTTTTGTTTTTCATATAAATAACAATAAAGGGCAAACCCCTTGTAGAATTTCAGATTTAAGATTCAACTTCTTATGTATCTTCAATTTATTGAAAGCACTTGATTCAATTATATTTCATGTAACCTGATCGAACGACTCGAATTTATTCTCTAAATCATATTAAATAATTCTTTGATAAATTTACCCTATGACCACTATCCAAAGTAACCGGGGAGCTTAAATTTTGCAATGTTTTGATTTTCCAGCAACATTGCATTTGAAGCTCACCCATTTCATCACACAACCATTGCCAAACCCTACACCGAAAGCTCTTTCTCGACGACCAACTGGTATGTAGTAGTAAGCACCATCAACAAGATCCACTCTTTTCGAGAGCTCTCTGTGCTGATGGCTGGAGTTCAGTGGCTCGCTAGTGCCAGTGCAACCAGTCTGAGTTTAACTTTCCTGCGTTGCGTACACGTAAACCGGAGCAGTTTGCCCCTGAGTAGAATTTCCTGCCACCGCAGGAGCTTTGTGGCTGCTTCAACCAGGTTGAAAACTAGAGTTTTCCTGAGTGGCTGCTACCGCACAACTCGGTTTGTTTGATTTTCATCCATTTTCTTTTTGTCTGGATGAGTGAAAAATGGGCATAGCTGTGAACAAAAAGTGATCGAAATTGTGAAGTTCTTCCGGGTATGTGACAGATTTGGTGTTTTTCTTACGGTACCGATTGCAAGTGCGTGATAGTGGAAGCTTATGTTACAGCAAAAGAAAGAAGAAAATTTATTCAAATTAGGAGAAAAATGTTTCTACACTAGTTTTTTCTGCTTTTCGATTGTTGCATGTGTGAGTGTAATTAACGGCATTTTATCTTCAGAAATAAAGTTCAACAGTGAAACAGGAGAAGCGGAGAAAGAGTTAAGAAGAGCTGAAGTAAAGAAAGTCAAGATACCTGAAGAAAGTTTCGACAGGGAGAAGGGAATAAGAAGAATACGAAGAAGTTCGGAAGTAGTTGCTGGAAAAGTTTAAGCTGAATGAGGTGATCACAACATTTAACTACATTTCAATCGTGCTGATGGATTACTAAGAGATAATTGGATTACATCCGCATATACGTGCGTATTCCAGTGGTACAAAAAGCTCGCGGAATTCAACCTAGTTTTGGACGTGGATCCCAGTCACCCTTGATCGTGTTTCATCGCTCCGTGAGTTCCCCACCTGCGTGAACGCGGAACATCGCTGGGACCGTGCGCACTCATCTACTCAATCGGTAAGTTTGCGAAACGAAAATTACTGGTTCCGAACGGATTTGCTCCAGCCTTCCTGACTGAATTGAATTTATGAATTTCATTTATTCTCGCCGAGCTACACCTCTTTCCTATAGTGCAAGTTCCGTAAGCTCCCGGAGTATAGGTGCCCGTGTTGCCTTCCAATATACGAAGAAGGAATATCATCGTCGTCGCCGACATCGTCGTCGTCGTCGTTGATGTTGCTTCATCCCATCAGCAGACCAGATCCAGACCAGCAAGCAGATACATACGTGGAACTTTTCACTGCTTTATTTTTTTTTGCTTCTGTAGGTAGCCAGCCAGCCAGCCACCCATCCAGAGCCAGCCTTGGGAAGAAGCGAATGAGCTCATTATTGCTTTGTACCACTTTGGGATGGCCATGGCTGGCTGACGGTTGCTGAAGGTTCGTGAGCTAGAGGAATAGATCACCTGGCGTGTGGAATAAGTGAAGCGGTGCATTATGTACGAGCAATGTGTGGCTTGCATTATGTGTCATTTTGGATATTTTCTGTTGTTGAGGAACGTGTTATGTTAGTGGAATAGCGTTTTTTTTTAGTTGGTTTTATGCATACTAGGATCTCCCCGATCGAAGTCCATATTCAACCTAAATTCAATACTTCGTTCTTGATACACTGCAAAAAATAAATTTTAATATTACATCCAAGAGGATGCACTTCAATCATGTCGAAAATCAAATGTAATTTTTATGGTCACTACAATAAACAAATGCAGTTAAAGCAGCGTAATGTTAGTTCTATCGTAACGAATCCATGAATTTGTATATTGTGTGAAAACACAACGATACTCTATGGCCAGGGAAGTCTATAGCCAGAGGAAGTCATAGTTGCAGGGCACAGCCATTCGACAGTGGACTGTCCACCTCGTATGACTTGATCAAGTACGATACCTGGATGTATTCAATTTACCATTGTATGAAGGGCCAGAAAAGAAGAGTGGCCATGTAAGCAGATACACTTACGCGTGATCCACGGGAGCAAGAAGAATCTCCTTCCAATGATAACAATGTTACAGCCCGATACAGAACAAGCCATCATACGAGGGCATGTTTCAATGAGTTGGAGAAATAGCCCACCTTCAATTCACGAAATGTTATTCCACTCTCTTCATCCAAATCGCCCGATCCCTACCAAAATGAACTTATATGTTTATATGAAAATATTTAGAATATAAAAATATAATACTACCCATGATTTTCTGCACAGTAAGCAAAAACGATCCCTCCAGGGTATAGTAATCTAGCATCTCTAAACCAAACTCGACAAAATATGATTAAGTTTCCACTTGGTACGCGATAATTCATATAGTTTCAGCGGTTGATGGTTAATTTCAAATATTCGAATGGCACTACAAACGGTGTACGACGATGACAACAGCGAATTCGGAACTTATCATTTGTCTATAACACCTTTGCCCGGCATCTTCACTGGATCTTCATGTCCACCATCTGTCACTGTCTGCAAAAATATCTAAAAGCAATTACCTGTGTTGTGATACTTCCTTCAAAGAAAACAAATTTTCTTGTATTGCCATGGTCATCTGGTAATTGCTGGTCCACCGAGTGCTCGGAATGAGCAGGCCTTACATCATTGAATCGATGTAAAGATTAGTATGAGATGGTGTTAAATGCAAAGTGCGATAAGAGAATGAAAGAAATACGTAAGGGATTAATTTCAAGAAGTGACAGTTTCATCGGATTCCCCAACTAACCATACTCAAACTAGTATATACAAGCTATATTGTGACTATATGATTACTTGGGTACTCATATAGCCGTCATAATGGTTCATCGGTTGTGAAGAGAAGTATTTCTGAAAGTGGTGCGTTATATTCCTCAATGTTTTGATTTTATCCTAACGTTACCTCAATATTATAACACAGATAAAGAGACACATCTCATTGTAAACACTACCGCCATCTGCCGAATGTACTGTGATGGGAAATACACTCAACAAATAGCTGTGGTGTGTAAACGTTAAACGCAAGGGAATTGATTATGCACGCCACAAGTGGTGGTACTACCAACTAAGAAACATTTAAATTTATCGTTAAAAGCCATTTCGATGAACATTTTGAGAGTGTTATATCTGCTTGTCTGTCTATCGCAACTTCGGATAATCTGCGAAAGTACTTGCATTTTTCTCAGGTACTTTTAATCTAAGTAAAAGATGAAGATGAAGCAATGACTCTAAACTTAGCTGAAGACGTAATCATGCTAAATAAACGTTTTCAGAATCACCGTGACCGAGCATGGTCAGAAATTGAAATCTACGCGAAAATAGTGATTATCCTCAATAACTACAATAGGACACACATTTTACGATGCACACTGCTCCATTTATGGTGTGTCTAATGTGGATAAACGGTTTTCAGGCATTTAATCGAAAGTCTGATTCTCCTCAAAACATCTTCAAGAGATGAAACTTATTACAAGTGCTATAGCTTTTAATTTCGATATCAACGATGTTCGCTGTAACTTTTCGTAAGCATCATCAATGTATGTGTCTCTTTGGGAAATCTGTCTCTAAAAGACCTTTTGAACAATTGCTGAAACATTGAGTTTTATTTTTCACAGGCTTCGAAAATCTCAAAGCGAACTTTTGTCCCACCTTATTCTGAAATTTCACAAGAAAATCCAATTCGTAGTTGTTACTCTGTGATTGACCAGAACCAGCAAAATTACAAACTTGATATCTATCACGGCGAAGACAGTGAAATTGAATTTAGTCCGATTGTAATTGTTACTAGAGTCCATGTGCCGGGAAACGTCAAAAACGCGGAACCAACAGTCGCATCGTCTTGACTGACTGTTCACTGAAACATTATTACTTTTCACTAGGCGAACGGATTTCGCTCACTGAAATGCATTTCATGTGTCGAACTACATAGTTGTCAAATGCATTTAAAATGAATCAATGTGCAACCTCGTGTTCTCGTGATGTTTTGAAATGCTCAATTTTGACAGATAAATGTCCTTTAATTGAAATTTGTTTCAGTTAGCCGTCTTTATCAATGATTCTGATGTGAACGAATCGATAGTTTAGTACAAAAGCTACACAATTTGTGTGGACGGGATTTAATTTCATAGGACGGAATTGGAATCAAGAAGCAGTGTTAGATTTTTAACAATATCTCAACAATTTGTTACTCTTTATCAAATCAAATGGTACATATGGAATGGTAGATTAATTTAAGTCATTTTTGATAGAAACATTCATTTTTTTTTGCTCAAACCCATTCGAAACATAGAGGTAAAGTGCAGGTGCTTAATATGACGGAAATTAGATCTTAACCCTGTACTGATAGATTAATGTGCCGCGCGGCATTTCAGGAACACCACTTACAGATTAGCCCTAAATTCCACGCGGCGTTTGCCTACTTCAATGAACGGTCGTGCCTCATGAAGGGCAGTGATGATTGTACGTCATTGAAATCAAATGAAATAGGATGCGATCATCTGAGGTAAATTGCTGGGATTATTCTGAAAATGTGTCAATACTTGCCTCACACCTTGTTGAACATAGGATAGAGTTAGACCAAGACTTCGATATGCAGGACTCTACATGTTGAAGCCTCGATGAGGTTGACTATTAAAACCGGGACTCTCTTTCACCTCAGGGTGCTCCACAGACTCTCTTGATTGAGCCATTCGAAAGCTTTTTCGTAGTCGATGGATACGAAATACAGGGACTCTTGATATTTGTTGACCTAATCCAGAATGATAAGGAGCGTGACAGGAGCGTGGCCCTCTCAAGATCTTCTAAATTTGTGTATCAATAATGTGTATGGGTATACAAATGATGACGATGCATGATATTTCAAAAGAAAATGAATACAATTTTACTTACCCTTTGTGGAACCTTAAAGGTTGTGCAAATTGTAAAAAAATTATATGGGAATTATTATGGAAGCATTTTAAATTTCACTTATGTCACAGTTGTTAAAATGATGAAAAATGAATATGTGGTTGCTATAATAATGCTGTTGTTATGGTCAGTTTGGCAGCAATTCAAGGTGATTTCCTGTAGCGTCTTTTTTTTTGTGTTACACTTCGCAATTTCACATGTAAAAATAATAAGGTTATAATACGTGAATGCACGTAGCTGAAACTACTACTTGTTGTTTGCTGAAGCAAGTAGTGTCTTAATTTGCAGATGTATAAACCTCGTAGATCTTGAGTTGTGCGCTCATGAAGTTGTGTGATGGAAAATGGACTCTACAAGGAAACACTTTTAAAAAGATTTTAATCCGAGAAAAGAGCTTTGAATGTGTTGGTTTATTTTCTTTTAATCCCGTTATAATTGCTTATCTTTTGACAGATACGCGTATTTCGTCTACTACTTGCAGACTTTATCAGTGCCAAGTACTCAACACCACAGTGGTGAAGTTTGCAAGTAGTAGACGAAATACGCGTAGGTGAAATGACTCTAATGTTGGCCTATAGATTTAAGATTGGGCCCATGGCTAAAAATCTGTTATTTATCAATTTTATCTATCCTATCTATCTATCTATGTATGTGTTCCACTAATCCATACCTGTATAAAGAGAGAGAGAAAGATTAGTAATTTCCATTTAATTCCACTACCTTATTTGCTTATCCTTGACAGATACGCGTATTTCGTCTACAATGTGCAGACTTCTTTTGTATCTTGTACTAATACTAGTCGAGTACAAGGTACTATAGAAGTCTGCACATTGTAGACGAAATATGCGTATCTGTCAAGGATAAGCAAATAAGGTAGTGGAATTAAATGGAAATTACTAATCCTTCTCTCTCTCTTTATATTAATTTTATCTAGATGAATGCGTCATTGGGACGGTACTAATGAATATTTTTGGTCGCTATTGAAAATTTATTTGATTCCTGAATTTATGTATGGACCCAAATTAGAGGCACTTAGGCCGACATTACATCCATTTCCCCTATTTGTAAAAAGGTAAGCAATTATGACGGAATTAAAA